AGTTCAGCACCTCACACCCCTGTCCCCCAGTACAGCCCAGTGCCCCCAGTTCAGCCCAGCGCCTCACACCCCCCCACACCCAGCACTCCCCTCAATCAGCCCAGTGTCCCCGGTTCAGACCAGTACTTCCCATGCCCATGGACACCACTCCCCGTTCTGGCACCCCCAGTTCATTCCAGTGCTTTACCCACCCACAGCCAGCTCAGCCCAGTGCCCCCAGCACGGCCCAGCACCCCCAGTTCAGCCGTGCACCCAGCCTGTGTGTGGTGGCCCCCCGGGCCCCCCAGACATGGTGCTGGCCCTGGAGCCCTCATGCAGGGGCTGCCGGAGGCATGGGCCGCCCGTTCCTGGTTCTTTCCATTGGCCTCTTTGGGTCATTTTTAGTGATTCTGCCAGTTCAGTCAGTACGAGTCCAGAACTTTACTAAAAACTGGTGGCAAACAGCAGCGAAGGCTCGTCACCCCCTCGCGGGTTAGCCATTACGGCATGCCTGCAGGAGGCAGGCTGCGGAAATCGGACCTTTTGGCTCCCCGTGCTCCTGGAAAGGCACGCTTGATCTTGTTTCTCACGTTCATTGCAAGTTCTCAGGGTGCTTTACAGCACTGATACAACTTGCCCTGTGGTTCCTGTCAACTTACTCCTCTCTAGATTAGTAAGAGTAACAGCTGGCAGCTGTCTTGCTGCATTCGTCCTGTTTTGTGTTTAACTGAGATCAGAAAATTATCAGCAATTATGTTAGAGGATGTCCTGGGTTTTGCGTGTAAATTCTTCTGCATTTGATTGCAATATTTGGATATTTGAATGTTCTGAGATATCCCCACTCTGGATCTTGCTCTGCAATTCCCCCTGGGGACATCGGGCAGAGGTGGGTGGCTGAAGAGGGAGATGAGCACACGCAGCGTGGGCGTAATCTGCAGGGCCATCCTCCGCAAGGCCGGCGATAACAATTGAAGCAAGAGAAGGTGTCGCTGAGGGGAGGGAGTTGTCTGAGGGTGATTAAATAGCAGTAGTATTATCACGGCAGAGCATTCCTCATGCAGCAGTGCTGGGCAGCTACGTTAAAATTTCCCAGTGTGTCTGCTTCAAAGAATAATTGTACTTTCTTAAATAATAAATTACAGACATATTTGTCATTTCCAGCTCTTGGAGGCTGTAGTTTAGTTAAAGCAAAGAGTTGCAAGCTGGTAGGAAATTAAAGAATAAAGCCAGGACTTAGATTCCGCTTTTACAATTTCCAAAACTTAATACGCCTAAAATTTTCAGAGTTAGGGCAGACATATGTGCCACCTTATCCACAGGAATTCCCTTTGAGAGGGAGGCAGTCCCTGTGGAGAACACAGGCCTGTGGGGAAAGTTACTCCTGGTCTCACAGAGGTGCCATTCAATCGGTTACCGGATTTACCGTCAGGGCTGCTTTTACAGTGAGCAAACAGGCCTGTTGCTCGCTTCTGCCTTTTAAAATGAGAAACTCTGGCAGCCTGCTTTTGGAACAGAATTAAAAAAGACCTATGTTAATACTAAAAATCACCTTTGGTGTCACCTTTGGTGACATTTCACAGGTTCATGACAAAGACTCATCATCTGCCCAAGGGTGGACATTCTGCTACGGGTCTATGAATCGTAACTATGAGAAGCAGCAGCAAGAGAGGAAGGCAGGTCTGGTGGGGTTTCGCAGAGGACATAGCTTCAGTATTGGTCCTGTGACCAGGGAAACACCAGCGATCATGTTGACCAGCTCCTTGCATTGTTCAGGCCAGGACCTCCATGTCTCTCTACCCTGTGGGCAGCTGGAGCACTGGGATGGAGGAACTTGGCTGAGAGGTCCATGTGAGGACAGAGACGGTCACTCTCCACGTCACGTTGTGGCACGTGGCCGAGGATCACGCTTCTCCCACCAGGCATATTCTTGAGGAGTTCCTGCAGCCGTCCCCAGTGCAGCCCTGATCCTGGGCAAGCGGTGA